TCAGTACACCAAACAGACTGGTCAATGTTGGAGCTAAAGATCCCTATGGATGAATAGCGAAATCCGTTCTGCAATACGGAAGCGAAATCGTCTTCATAAAAAAGCTAAAAATCGAAACCGTCGTTCCGATTGGGCTAATTTTCGATTAGTCAGAAACAAAGTTGTCAACTTAATACGCGATTCCAAAAGAAAATGTGATTAAAAAATTGATGATAGGATAAATTCCTCGGTGGGTACAAAAACATGGTGGCGTTTGGTAAAACAATATATTAACAAAAAGTCTGAAAGTAACTACTTTCCACCAATCTTATCAAATGACATTATCTACGACGACCCCGTATATAGACATTGCAAATGTTTTGAATGATTTCTTTGTGAGTCAGTCTACAATAGAAAATCCAGATTTACGACCTCCCCAGTGTCATTTTGAACTTACTACAGACTCACTAAATGTAGTCAATCTTACACTCGATGAAGTTCAAGATATTCTCTTCTCTCTCGATCCATCAAAAGCTACAGGACCAGATGGAATAGGAAATAGATTTTTGAAAGCCATGGCAAACGTTTAGCTCCTCTATTAACAAAACTATTTAACATGTCTCTTCAGAAATTCACTTTTCCAGCCGTCTGGAAGGAAGCGTTAGTCATGCCTCTCCATAAAAAAAATAGTGTAAATGAATGTTCCAATTACAGACCGGTCGCACTTACGAGCTGTTTGTCTAAAGTTTTAGAAAAATGTGTTTTTAAACATGTATTTAATTTCTTTAGAGACAATGATATTTTAACCTATTTACAATCGGGTTTTATGCCAGTCGACTCTACCGCTAACCAATTAACTTATTTGTATGATTTCATAGCGAAAGGACTTGATGAAGGTAAAGAGGTCAGAGCTGTTTTTGTGACATTAGTAAGGCATGGCACAAGGGCATCATTTCTAAACTTAAAAGCTATGGCATTGGTGGATCACTTTTGAATTGGTTTGAAAGTTATTTACAAAACAGATCACAAAAAGTCGTCATTAATGGATACAGTTCCGATTATAAACCTGTACTTGCTGGCGTCCCACAAGGTTCCGTATTGGGACCCTTACTTTTTATTGTATACATAAATGATTTAGTAGATGGTATAAAAAGTCACATACGTTTATTTGCTGACGACACCTCACTTTACGTAATTGTAGATGATCACGATACAGCCGCATCCTGTCTGAACGATGATTTAAACCGTATCTCTAGCTGGGCAGACAAGTGGTAAGTTACCTTCAACCCTGATAAAACCGAAACAATCAATTTTTCTCCTAATCATAAAAACGACACGATTCCGACCTTGAACATGAACCAAACCCTGATACGAGAAGTGGAAAGTCATAAACACCTGGGTATAACTCTACAGAGTGATTGTGGATGGAAAAGTCATATTGAAGATATTGTTAAGAAAGTTAGCCCCATGATAAATTGTCTTCGAAGTTTTAAATATCACCTCTCCAGAAAAACGCTAGAAACCATGTACAAATCGTTTGTGATGCCGACATTTGACTATTGTCATATCTGGGATAATTTTACAAATGATCAGTCCCTTATTCTTGAACGGTTACATCTAGATGCACTTCGTACAACATGCGGCGCAGTTCGTGGCACTAGTCATCATAGGCTATACATGTATATCCTTGTATACCACTGTTTTAGACCACAGTGTGGCTTTGCAAACCTGCTCGACTATGTTACATTTTTCGTGATAATATACTTACTTAGTGACCAATTCCGTTCGAGATATAGTCCGATAAATCGCTACCGGTATTGAGAATGCCCTTCTTCTCACAGTGCAGAAATCGACTTTTGGAATTTGGTTTCAACTTGAAAACGACGAAACGATGATCGTTTCCCATTAACCCAGAATATTTGAAAATACCATGCATAGTTCTGTATTGAGAGAGGAAGCGTATCATAGTTTATGGCTATATTCCAGCAACATCGTGGTGGGGGACACCAGAAAAGGACTTCACCCTCTATACCTGAGTGAGGATCGAACCCGCATTATCAGCTTGACGAGCGAACGCTTTGACCACTATACTACCCTACCGGCCTATATATGTTAATGTGTGTGATACTATTGATATCAATATGAACCAAGTTAACGCTCCAAATTTTTTCTCTCATATTTTTGCGTTCATATTAACCGTTAACTGAATTTGTATCAACAGCCTGACCGGTGTGGGTTACAGGACAACTGTGTTCCCCCTGTTTTCCATCCAAGCCGCAATGTAAACCGACAAACATCAAAGCGATGCTTAATGTGAAAATATATGCATGAAGCATTTTTGTCATAGGCCATAACCTAGCACGATACGTCCAATACGTTCCATAATTTACGTATAGGTAGCGATGTCTTTCTTAATATGTTCAGAATAGCATTATTTTACCCAAAACCTTAATCTAAAAGTTTTCGTTTACGAGGACGGTATCCATTTCCATAATATGATTGGCTGCTTAGGTCACGTGTCTGATTTTGACCAATCACGACCCTTATAAGCAGAGTGTAGTGAAAAAGCGTCGTTAGAAACCAATCTTTATCCAATAAAATCGCTTCTTACAAATGTGAAAATACTCCCGGCAAGAGTACAGTGATATTGTTGATGTTCAGAGCTTTCGAACAATACCCGCCATCAAACGATTCGCCTCTATGTAAGTGACACGTGCCACACACTAATTAACAAGAAACTGATTGACACTTCCCGTTTCTGAAAAATCTCGGGAGTCAATACCCGCGAATCAACAAAATGTAAACACTTGCTTGTTTATACAGTCAAACTGCCCACTACATGTATTAATTACTGAGGGTAAGTGTTACGTACCACTCATTGATTAACAAGATACTGATTAACACTTCCCGTTTCTGAATAATCTCGGGAGTCACAGCGAATTGTGTTGTTACATCATTTGGACCTAATTGCATCAAAGGGTTACGCCGTCTTTCATGTGCCGGTTTTTACAGATTCGTTTTCATAACAACTCGTTCGTTGGGACTGAAAAACAATGCCGATATCCTGAATAGACAGATGCCGATGTTTACAGAAGTTTCTAAATGATAATAACGTGCATTTCTGCCGGGACTGAAACTTTGTGCCGATGTAGACAGAGTGCCGGTGTTTACAGAGGCCGGTATTGACAGAGTCCACTGTATATCGAAACAAAGTCTAAACCATTAAAAGAAAGAAGCCGCGACATTAAACGGTCTACTCCAATTTGTGAGAACTCCCAATTGTGAGACTCCAAGTTATGAGACAGTGGAGTAGGTAATTAACAAAGAAAACACACCATACTCCCCTGCCTGATAGAATGGATTAACCCTAGCTAATTACTGATTTGCTATGTAACTGAATCTTTTGGAGGTAACTTAATGAAAGATAAATTGATTAACATACTCCGGTAAATGTTCTTATATATTTATGCAACAGTCAATATCGATGACGTCACATCCTCCATTTCATTGTGTATTTTATGTTGCATGGGAGCGGTGTTAACATAAGCAGTAATGCTTGTTCACCAATCCCAATTCATTTTCATAAATGATAATAAAATATGTTTAAACCAAAATGACTTTCAAACTTCCTAATAGTCAATAAAAATGTGTTATCATAATTACTATTCTTCTGAATAAATAAAATATTTAATGAACTATTTCTTCTTTGTAAATAAAATCTTTGATACTCTTCAACAACTGGGCTGATCCCACTTTCACTGTGGGGATGTGGAAACACCACCTATGTGCACTGAACCATTAATTAATGTGTCTCACAACTGGGAGGACACCCATTAAACTAATAATTTTTTACAAGATGAATAACGATCTCGCACCTGACTACCTCTGTGACCTTGTCCCTAACTTTGTCTCTGAAAACAGTCAATATAATCTCCATAATAAATTTAAGTTACAAACAATAAATTGTAGGACTAAAATATATGAAAAGTCGTTCCTACCTGACACAATTAAAATTTGGAATTCATTACCTGATAATTAAGTATTCGTGAATTTAAATCTCTGCTTAAAAATGATGAATCAAATAATTATCTAGATCTAAATTATGGTAGTCGATTCTGTCAGATCGACTTAAGCTCGGCTGCAGTGATTTGAATGCGGATAAAGTAGACACTTTTCTAACAACCCTGGATGCCCTTGTGGACACCACAATGAAGATACTGTTCATTATCTTTTTACATGTAAGTTATACACTGCTATTATAAATAATACCTACTTCTATGTAAATGGCCACAATCTCCAAACTGTGTTATACGGAATACCTCCGGCAAACAACAACGCCAATAATAACATAATAGAGTCCCTGCATCAATACATCTTTAAGTCTAAACGATTTGATAAATTATACTAACAATTATATGCAATCAATTAATGAAGTGTAGCTGCAAGCTCAATCTTTATAAGCACCTACAACGCACATATATGATTTAATTTGTCGGTTTTTGTATCCAGTTCTTGTGTATTTTATTTAAATGATATATGTACTGGTGAGGTATTGATATAAGCAGAGTTCTGCTTGTTTACCAAACCAGATTCTCTAGGAAAAAAAATATGTTTAAACCAAATAGATGGCATGACCACCCGAATATCGACAGAACTGGATATTCTCCTAGCCCTTGCAACACAATACAACAAATAACATAACACACATTGGATGGCTATGCTATGCACCACCGCGATTTATTGCGTGAAAGAAGAGTATATATATTTACAAGTATGTACAAGCCTCAACGGAAGCAGGCGACAAGTCTCTCAGAGACACTGACAAACCAATATAACTGGCAACGAGCCCAGCAGATGGCGACAAGCCTCTCAGTCGGCACCAAACACGGCCGACAGCGACAAGCCTCTCAAAAATGGCAACAAGCCTCTCAAGTGGCGCCAAGCCTCTATCGGCGCCAAGCATGGCCAACGGCGACAAGCCTCTCAAAATGGCAACAAACCTCTCAAGTGGCGACAAGCCTCTATCGGCTCCAAGCATAGCCAACGGCGACAAGCCTCTCAAAAGGCGACGAGCCTCTCCTGTAGCAACGAGCTGCTCTCATGGCACCGAGCCATACAATGACCTGAAACATTTAGAATAGGTTAAAGTACAATATCAAAACTTTTCAGAAGTATCCATGACGCAATGTATACTTGGTGCACAACAAGCGAGAATGACAATTCAAATATCATACGCCTTATATACTCTCATTAGGCGCCACCTACGACTGAATTACACCCCTTTGTTGCATTCCCCTACGCTAGGAGAAAGTAATTTCTATCTCATTCGTCCCTCAAACGATAAAAATATCATTTCTCCTAGCCCTTGCAACACAATACAACAAATAACATAACACACATTGGATGGCTATGCTATGCACCACCGCGAGACTCAAAGAACGGGCAAACTAGAGGCCAAGTGACTGCGACACTCGCAAACGGTTCTCTACAGAATCTTTGACATAACCGTCTTTAGCGCTCTCGCTTTTCCATCTGCCATGCCTCTTAAACATCCTGTCCGGGATGCCACTGTTAGCAGCCGCAGAGGCACCACCTGCACGCAAACTGTGTAAGCCGTACTGTCTAATATCAGAAACGAAAGGAGAAAACGTGTCAATAAACAACTCTCTCAAGCGAGAATAAGTCATAGCTCTATTTTCTTTTCTAAGGACAAACCTATCATGGCACTTGGAAATGTTCCTATACAAGTACTCTTGTGATTCTTCGGGAAACTGTGTTAACGCCAGATACTTCTCCAACCACATGACTGGACACATCTTGGAACTTGTCCTGCTGATCAATAACCATGCCCCGTCTCTATACATATCAGTCTTTGATTTCTCAATGAAAACCATCATATAAGCTTTATAAATCAAAATGTCAGTGCGTCTCAAACAGAGCAACTCTGCAGATCTCAGGAACCCAGCATAGGCAAGCAGGCACATTGACACAATGCGGACATCTTTCAAACATCCTGTATCCGAATAAAAATCAACCAAACTTTCTAATATATCGATAGATATAGGCTCTTTTTTACACACTGGTTTAGCCAACTTTCGCTTAGCAGGCTCCAACACATTTCTCACCAGAAGATTATCAGTAGGACTGGGCAAGCCTATAATACTATGAGCATGACGAATGCTATAAAAGCCGCATGAACGGGCGAAAAGAATGGCTTAGTTGCATCACAGAAACTAGGTAAATGGCACAATGTAAAGGTTTTATAGGAAAATGTACAGGCATACCATTACTTCTCGCCCACTTTAACCACCTCTGCATTCCATAATCATATTTCTTATTAGTTGAATCAGCTCGTGCAAATTGCAAAAGTTCTGGAATTCTACTAACCAACTCTCTGCCTGGGCCTGAAAGGCTATGAATGTCATCAGCGTACGCAATCTCAAAGACATCTGCAAAGAGAATAAGTTAATCAGTATTTCATATTGATTGCCAACATGTCAAAGGTTAAGTCTCTCTCACCAAACATACCCCCTGGAATCCGGCTGGGTACATAAGCTTCCTTGTCTCTGGGTAAATACACGAAATCAAGCACCTCAGGTATGAAAGTTCCTTTCGGACACAACAATGGCCAGTAACTGGCAGAGTACCACGCTGGCACAACCAGAGTACCTTTAGCTTTGCAAACCTTCATATGAGCCAGAACTCTACAAACAAGATACACAGGCGGAACAATCCAGTTGTTTGTATCACCCCAATGCTCAGTGAACGCATCTATTGCAACACATCCTTGATCCCAGAATCTTGAACAGAAAGTTGACACTTTTGCGTTGTAATGAGAAGCAAATCTGTCGACATCATATCTTCCCCACATCTTCTCCAGATTTCTAAAAATATATTGCGAAATTCCCCAATCATCGTGATCAATTGCCTTGCTCAAAAAGTCAGCTTCATCATTAAGTGATCTAGGGACCCATTGCATTTCCAAATGCACAGAATGAGATAAACACACATCGTATATAGATCTGGCAATAGCCTGCAAATCTGGTTTCATGCTACCTTTACACACTATGGATTCAACGTTCGTATTGTCAGTGAACCACTTTACTCGCTGCGAGGCTAACTCCCCAGCCAAGCTTTGAAGAACCACCTTCACCGCCATCAGCTCTCTCCATGTTGAACTCTTATTCGCGTCTTCTGTAGACCAGTGTCCATATATCTCACTCTGGCCAAGCTGAACACAATATCCGCCATACCCACTAGAACTAGCATCACTGTATACTACTTTAGTGACCACACGTTGTTCTACTAGCATACAGTCCTTATGATTATGCAGATTGTTCTTCCAAAATATCTCTCAGGAGATAGTGAAATCAAATCACTCCAGGAAATAACTTCAAGAGTCGGAATACTCAATGATCTTGTCATCAACTGGCAAACGGAACCCGCTACAATCTTCATGGAAATAATCTGGCCAACAACTGAAGCAACAGATCGAACCGGAACTTTACCTGGATGATCTAACAGATATCGGACAGACGACAGTAGCTTGTCCAGCCTCCGTGTAGGAATGGACAACATCATAACTCTGGTATCAATGACAAGACCCAGCCACTCAACAACTTGACTTGGCTCCCATAACGACTTCTCAACCTTCGGTACAAAACCGGATTTAATCAGGTCACTCTTGATAGCTAGCCCAATGCTTCTTGCACTATTCAAACTATCACCAGACATTATCCCATCATCTAGAAATGTCACACATCTGTACGACTGAGATCGCCAGTACTTTACCAATTGACGTGTAATTTTAGTTAACACGTGAGGCGCAGTTGTCAACCCAAAAGGCATAACTACTTGTAAAATGTTCTGTCCCCACCAATACTCCAAGAAAATCCTAAAAAATCAGTATGAGGGTCGAAAATATGTACATGGTGATAGGCAGAATGTATGTCAAATTTCACCAACCAGTCATTTTTGTTTATGTACATAAGAGCTGTTCTCCAGTCTTCATACTTCACAGAGCATTTCCAAACATGTCTGTTTAATAATGATAGATCTAAAATCAGTCTCTTCTTGCCAGACGACCGAGTAGCAACAGATAAAGGACTAACGACAGTAGGTTTCTTGTCACAAACAACGACCAAACCCTTCTTGACTAAATTATGAATAGCACTTTCTACAAAGTCACCATTGCACAGCGCTGACCTGTTATTTCGTCTGTCCATTATCTGGGGGGATGAATAAAAAGGGATTCTGTAGCCATTATCAATGATGTCAATAACAAAATCACTTGCATTGATAAACTTCCAAAATGAAATATTTTCTTTCAATCTGCCTTTTACCATTATTTCTGCCTGTCCTTGTTCTTACTCGTAATAATCTGTCGTTAATCTCAGATTGTCTGATGGAACCTTGAGAGATTGACAAAAACTGTGATACTTAACTTTCGTATCAGTAGAACCACTCTGATCAGGCTGAACTCTGTCTGTCCGACGTGGCATGTTTGCTGACGTAGAGGGGACAATTCCTACGCCAGTGTGAGAAGTCACCGCAGTGAAAGCATGCTCCAGACCTTTGACCTCCCCGGCCACGAAAAAAGCTGAGTCCTAGTAGACAAAGGATCAGCGGGCGTCGCACTCCCACCGGTCTGCACGGACTGGGTACTGGAGGTAGGTCGTGATAACGGCCTATACGGGTGTCCACGTGAAGATCGCAGATTCTTGGCCTTGATCTTCTTGATAGCTTTGTTTTCTGCTCGCGTAATACGCCTGTCATCATCAGAGTTCTCAGCCAACTCACGTGACACATAGTGACGTACCGTCTCCCAACCAGCTTCGGAAGAATCAGCTATTCTTATCAACTTATTACGATTCTCTATCCTGGATACCTCGCTCTGCACAACTTCTTTAATGTAGTCTAACTTTCCATACTCTAGACCAAATTCAATCTGACGAAAGGCCTCAAGTGTCTCTGCGTTAAAATTGTACTGGATTCTATTACCTTCTCTAGACCATGTAAAGTCTTTATCGGCCTTCAATTTCTGGATTTCGTTTGTGGTTTTTGCAAATTCTTCTCTCACACCCTCGAGACTAGCCTCTATTCTAGATTGGATCTTGCGTTCCAAATCCAACTGAGAAGAGTCCATGCGATTTAAAATGGCGTCGAGTTTGTCGTTAATGGGATTGCCAGATTCAGAAGTATCCATGACGCAATGTATACTTGGTGCACAACAAGCGAGAATGACAATTCAAATATCATATAAGCAGAGTTCTGCTTGTTTACCAAACCAGATTCTCTAGGAAAAAAAATATGTTTAAACCAAATAGATGGCATGACCACCCGAATATCGACAGAACAGGATATTATTTTTAAATTGTTATGACATGCCGTTTCTTACCATGTTTAATTCTCCTAAAGGATTATCTTATCTTAGCTGATATCTCTATCCCCCAGGACCCCTAGCCCGACCCCAACAACCGTCTGCGCCCCCCGTCCTGGTGTTACTTTTGAGACGACCACTCCTACCTGTTTGTTTTTATAGTGATAGTGAGACTCCATGGTACATCCTTAATAGTTGCAGTAGTAAAGTTATTATTTTTTACGTCAACTATCGTTTATAATGAAGCTGGGTCTAATTTCAAAATGGGCATTTAAAAAGTGTCCTTTGTAATACAATATAATAAAAGGATGGTAAAGTCACATTAACTCAGTGCGCCTTGTGGCTGCAAGAGTTGTAGCCCCCCAGGGAGTTGAGATTGATAATATCTCAATCGTTTATATGGTGATAGGAAAAAAAAGTAACAGGAAAAAAAGAAACGGAAAAAAGTAAAAGATTCTGCTAGGAAAAAAAGTAACAGGAAAAAAAGAAACACTTTTTCTGTTGTTTGTATAACAAAACAATTACAAGCACATTTTTTGCATCTATAAGCAATGTTCTCAGTTCTAACTAAATGTTCTTACTGAGTCTAATGTTCTGGCCAACCCCAGTCAGAATAGTTTACTTAGCAAAGTTGTTTATACTACCAAGTAGGACAATCAAGGAAATTGCTCAGTAGAGATTTGTTTTAACAGATGAATAGTTTACTTAGCAAAGTTGATTATACTATCAAGTAAGCTGAGTAGGTGAGAAGTTGCTCAGTAAAAACAAGTAACAACAACAACTTAAATAAAATGATCAAAGCTCATCCTAATCCGAATTAAGTGTCTATATAAGTATTTAAAAGTGTTACTTTTTTCTGTTACTTTTTTTCCTGTTTCCTTTTTTTCTGTTACTTCTTTTCCAACATTCGTTTATATATGCCAATCAATTCTGGAGGTCGGGGTTTGATTAATTTTGAGGCTCTTCATCATAGAATTTTATTGTGTACCTTTGCACATGTTTATTTATCGTATGATTCTCTGGTGATGCATGTCAAGATTCACGATGAATACAAGGAATTCGACAGCTATTTTAAGCGCGCCAAGGTTGTTGGACACAATCTGAAATTTGAGGTTGATTTTGTTGATGGTGATGTACTGATGGACGGTACAGCGATGGGAGTAAACCAGGTGAAGTCCTTCACCAAGTCTGCCCAGAGTCGGTCATATATGGAGAAGCTTTCTGAGAAACCATTGCATCGTGTGTACATGCAGTGTGTGGAACAGAATAGCAATCCAACCGACTCCTTCGGCTGGTTGAAGTCGCCTGGTCTAAAATGTGAAACTGAGTGCTTTCTTTTTGCTACTCAGGACCAGTCACTTTTAACTCGCAATCGCCTAAATGTGATTCTTAAGGAAAATATTTGCATGAATGTGTAATGAATTTACAGAGACTGTCCAACACCTTGTCAGTGGATGCCCTTCCTTGGCACAAACAGCATATCATATCGTTGTTTCTCCTATCGTCTCCGCCATGCGTGTGGCCTTGACTCTTGAGGTCCATCCATGGTACGACCCTGAACATGTCCAGGGCGTCATGGAAAATGATGCTTTTAAACTTCTCTGGAATAGAGAAAAGAATTCCTGCCAACAAACCTGATCTTGTTCTTTTTGATAAAGCCAGTGAATTTATTTATATCATTGAATTTTCTGTCCCTTTTGACAGCAACGTGATTGGCAAGATTCAGGAAAAGCATGCTAACTATGCGGACCTCACCTTTGAAATGTCTCTCTTGCATCCCAAGTACACTGTCGCCAGGCTCCCCATTGTTCTCGGTACCCTTGGTTTGGTACCTCCAGATCTCTTGGGGCAGATCAGGAGAGTGCTCGGTTTCTTCACCGGGAGCACAGCCCTTCTGACAGTCTGGTTAATGCAGAAGGCTGCAGTGTTGGGGAGTCTACACATTCTCCGGGAAGTTCTTGGTGGGTTCGACTAGGCAGCGTTTCATGGGAGAAGTCCCATTCGCTGTCTGGGATGTGTGTAGAGGGGGCAAGCTGGTTTTTCACTGGGTTACAGACAGCCAAGGGGAAAGAACTAATTTACTTCTGCAGCCCAGTCAGCCTTCCTCCGGTAATGAAACCAACCACACTGGAGATGGGACTTGCCCCAGGGGAAGGCACAGAACCCGGCCAAGAATATCTTGGTCAAACCATCTTAAAACCACACTACTAGAGTGTGCGAAAGCGACAGGATGGCATGCAAATCCACGCCTCAATGGCAAGCCTAGTGGTTAAAGCGTTGGCTTGTCACGCCGAAGATCCAGGTTCGAATCCCCGCATGGGTACAATGTGTGAAGCCCATTTCTGGTGTCCCCCGCCGTGATGTTGCTGGAATATTGCTAAAAACGGCGTAAAACCAAACTCAGTCAGTCAGTTAGTCTGATAGGAAAGATTCACTTGCCATAGATGAAGTTAATTGTTGTGTCTATGCTGCTGCTCGAACCTTGAAGGAACTTCCCACAGTTCCAAAGAAAAAACATCTAAAACTAAGAACAATACACCAAAGAAAAACAGGTTTCAAGTAAAACTAACAGAAACTAGAAAATACATTTCCTGGAGAGAGCTGTGCCTGAAGTTAAGATCACCAGGGAATCCCATGTCTAAACGACAAAAGTCAATTTGGAGAAAATTAAAATTACAGTTTAAGACAACAAAAGAAAAAATATTTCTCCGAATTGTCGATTCCCTTAAGGCAAAATTAAAGGTTTGGACTGAAAGAAAGCAAAAATAGGAAAAGAAAAAAATAAATTTATCAAACAGAAATAACGAAAAGCACTTCTACAGGCAACTGAAAACAAATGGTGATGGTGAGCATGATAAACGACCTCCCATGGATGCCAATGAAAGGTTCTGGAAACAGTTGTGGTCTGTACCCGGCGACTGTAACCTGGAGGCACCATGGGTCCATGATTATGACCATGCAATGCATGAGAAAATAACTAGGTCGTTTGTCTGCTACATCTCACCAGAATGCCTGAAAAATGTTATCAAAAAGTCCAAATCTGATACAGCTCCAGGGCCTGATGGTATTTGAAACCGGTACTGGAAACTGTTCCCCTGTGTCCAAACACCATAACTTCACTGTTTCAATTCTCTTGTGGGCACATGTGGTGTTCCTCCATGGTTCTGCAAAGGTTGCACAATACTCCTTCCCAAGATAGGAGACTTGACTGATCCCAAAAACCTCCGCCCTATCACGTTTGAATACTCAGTATAAAATCTTCACAGGGTATTTACAAACCTCGTGTCATCTTACTGTTCTTCCAATGACATAATTTATAGAGAACAGAAGGGGTCGAGAAAGGAATGTTGGGGGTGCAAGGATCAACTTCTTGTACAGAAAATAATTTTGGAAGAGGTTAAAACATATCACCGAAACCTCT